TGAGTTATATTAAATTGGTTATGTTGAAAGGGTTATGTCAAAAGGTGTATATTGAGTGGATTATCAGCAGCTAATCACAAGGTAGTCACATGATGTTTAAATGGATCAATGAGGTCATTGCTCTACTGTGCGCATGTACAAAATTCCCTATATAAACAAACCGCAGATAAAGAAGCTTGCCATTTTGCCTGAGCGAGCAGATGGTCACCTTTATTTAAAACACAATTTCAAAACATGTGCTTATTCTTTGTGACATCACTTTTCCGTGAGACCCTAAGGGCAGCAGTGCAGTGCTAATACACAAGTGTAATAAACTAGTATTCACTAGGATCAAATAAACTCATATTCTGAAACTGCTTTAAGAACATCTGAAGCCTGGAAATCCTAACGGTAACATTTTAAAGCAATATGTACAACAGACAATATGGAATTCTCATGTCATATATACCACCCCTCCTCCCTCTGTGCTATGTGGTTCACGGTGAACCTTAATAGGTCTAAACCAGTTGGGATTATCATTTCTGACTGGCTACAGGATTAGGTTAAAAGATGAACAGATACCCAAATCTAAACTAATTAGTCAATGGCATTCCTCTGACCACAAAGACAAATTTAGGTTGTCCATTTAGGGTGAACTATAGGATTCTTTTTTTTAAATGGTTGGCTGGAAGAAGTTAAGGACCACTGTCTTTCTCTTTAAGATATGTGTAGGGTATGAGATGTAAAGTTTGGGGATGTGGCGGGCATTTGGTATCATGAAGGAAGATGAAGGCAAAGCCAAGAGAACTGCACCAAAATCCATAAAGCCTTGACTGTGTCACACCTGAGACTCTGCCTAAAACTTGTAATTTTCACTTAGGTAGACCGGTAATTTTTATTTTCAAAGGCAGTCTGAGATAGGCTCTTGCACATGCAGTAAGGGAAAGAGAGGCTTCAATAAATGGTCTCATACAGCTACTCATCTATTATAAGAGAAAACAAAACCACTATCCCATACAAATTAAATCCCAAGCACAACATAAATATTTAATGTACTATCAGCAGTCTACTAGGATTCTAGGAAATAGGTGGTGCCCGCAGCTCAGTGGGTATGGCGCTGGCTATATACACTGAGGCTGGTGGGTCTGAACCCGGCCCAGGCCAGCTAAAACAATGACAACTGCAACAACAACAAAAAATAGCCAGGTGTTCTAGCAGGCACCTCTAGTCCCAGCTATTTGGAAGGCTGAGGCAAGAGAATTGATTAAGCCCAAGAGTTTGAAGTTGCTGTGAGCTATGATGCCACAGCACTCTACCCAGGGCGACAGCTTGAGACTCTGTCTCAAAAAATAGAAAAAAAAAAGAGTCTAAGAAAAATCAGTTAATAGCTACATAGTGTTAGACCTGGGAAGGACTCAAGAAGCATCACATAATAGGCAAACTATGCAGAAAAAAATTAATGAATTTAAGTAAAACTTTACAATTTTAAATGTGTAATATAAATTACATGACAAAATAAACTGAATTTTTTTGCAAAATATATTGATTATCTTAATTTTTAAGGGTCTTATAAATCAATGAAAACAATAGAAAAATGGGCAAAGCATTATGAACTGGAAATGTACATGTAAAAACTTCAACTTCAAATGTCCAAAAATAGAGAAATAACAATATCAGTATTTTGAGTACTGAACTGGCAAAATTAAAGAAAAAAATAAAGCCTACTGTGTCATGTGGTGAAGGTAAAAACATCTCTTCCTAGAATACAACTTTTCATATGTCTTCAAATATGTATAACCCAGGAGTCAATGGCAATACAGTGTTATCAGATGAGTATCCCCAAACTGAAATCCTGAAATACTCCAAAACCTGAAACTTTCTGACACCTGACATGATACTCAAAGGAAATGCTAACTGGAGCATTTCAAACTGTGGATTTCTGGATTAAGAATACTCAACCAGTAAGTATACAATATAAATATTCCAAAATAAAAAAAAATCCAAATTCTGAAACATTCTTGGTCCTAAGCATTTTGGATCAGGGATACTCAACCTGTATTTAAGAACATGCATAAATACATAGCTACAAGGACAGTCATCTTGTTACCATTTTTAATAATGAAAAACTGCTACCTAGCTAAATTTGGTTGCCCCTAGAAACAGATCCTAAACACAAGGCTCGTATAGTTAATCACCTTTGGAAGGTGATCTCAAAAGTCACCAGTAGGGGAGTGGGAAGCAAGACGGGGGTTGAAAATCATTAAAGGATATGTCGTCAAGCAAATTATCACTGTGGGTAACTCTAATTTAACCCTGCAGAGAAACTCTGAGAATCAGGGTGAAACACACGCCTCACGATTATCCCACCCAAGGGGAGCGAAAGATAGGATCTTCCATTCACTTCCCTTAGTTTCCAGTTCCACGCTGGCCTTCAGTTAAAGGCTGATGGAGTTGGGGAGGGATGTTAATTCCCTGGCACTACTGGCTGGCCCCACTTGTAAGAAGAGTGAATTCTGGCACCCAGGAAAAACTCACTTTTGGGCAAAGAATTCCCAAATGTTGGCATGTGGAAGTTGGGCCTGGATGTACACCAATGTGAAGTGCCCAGGGATATAAGTAAGGGGGTGGCTACATCCCCATACCTAAAACCTCAATCACCTACTGCTAAGAGAAGCAGGAACATCCTGTAGTGGTCATGAGCATGGTTTGAAGTTGAAGTTCTTGGTTGGAGTCTCCATTCTGCCACTTCTTAGCTGTGCAACCATGGTGAAACTATCAGCCAATAATCAGTCTGGTCTTGAGAGTTCTCATTTACAAACAGCCCTTTCCTCATGACCTAATCACCTCCCAAAGCCCCCTCCTCCTAATACCATCACAATGGGGAGTTGGGTTCCAACTTATGAATTTTCAGAGGACACATTTAGTCCATTGCAAGAACTGTATGTCGTGATATTTCACGATACACAGTGAGTTCTCTCCTGTTTCTTCTGCAGACACAGTATTTCCTGATGGTGGTGTTGTGGTGCTGAGCTGGTCTGTTGTGAAGCAAAGAGGAGAGAAGTGATCTCTCTTTTGGTTGTACTGTTACTGGAATCCTACGATAGCGTTGTTCATAACACAATGTGTTAAGAGTCAATGGACAGTCCTTTCAGCATTCACCCACAGCCCCCTCTTGCACTAGAACTCAGATATGCATCCTGAGTGATGGAAGCAATTTTGTGGAGAGAGGACTAGACATTGTGAGGTCATTTTATGCCTACAACAGGACAGAAAAGAAAATGAAGGGAAAGTAGGGATGTCAGGGTAATCCTTGCTAGTATTCACCAGACACCAAATCTAATGGCATCTTAATCTTGGGCTTCCCAGCCTCCACAACTGTGAGAAATAAATTTCTGTTGTTTAGAAGCTATCTACTCTATGACATTTCATTACAGCAGCAGCTTGAACAAGCTAACACAATATTTTGTTAAGTGCTATTTAAAAACAAAGTGATGGGAAATGCTTAATGTTTGTTGGTTGAATGCAGAAATACTACTTAGAACTTTAAAACATTTCTTCATGAAAACATCATCAAAGTAAGGGTTACTTTCACACAAATTCATTCAGTGTAGCTGAATTAATAGTATATTCATTTATAATGGCTCAGCCCTGTAATCCTAGCACTGTGGGAGGCCAAGGCAGGTGGACTGCCTGAGCTCACAGGTTCGAGACCAGCCTGAGCCAGAGTGAGACTTCATTAGCAGGGTGCTATGGCAGGCGCTTATAGTCCCAGCTACCTGGAAGGCTGAGGCAAGAGAATTGCTTAAGCCCAAGAGTTTGAGGTTGCTGGAGCTATGATGCCACAGCACTCTACCAAGGGCAACAAAGTGAGACTCTGTCTTAAAAAAAAAAATAGTTTATTCATTTAATGTTTCATTCATTTTTCTATTATTCATTTAACAAGCGCTTTCTGAGTACACACTATATAATATGCGATGTATACGTGATGTATATGAGACCTAACCCATGAATGCAAAAGGCAAATTGGTCTGTACTCTGGACAAGGATTATAATACAGGGTGGTAAATTTTGAAGTGTGAAGCATTAGATGGCAAGGATTAGTATTATGTTAGGATCAAAATGCCAAAAAGGTGAGTTTGGGCTGATTCTTTTAAGAAAAAAGCAATATAAGTCAGCAAGTCAACTGAGAAAGATGACAGGAAATAGACTAGAGAGTTAAGCAGAGGAGTTTGGATTGTGAAGAGCTCTTTAAGCAGGGGAGTGAAGTTTATAAGCTTCATAACTCAAGATTCTAAAGTTTAAAATGAATAAGGACTTTGTAAAGACCAATAATTCATCCTGAAAAGAAATATAAATGATATTCTATATTATCTACTGAACAAATTATCTTATCTACATGACTTTGCTCTATAATCAGAGATAAGTGGGAGGGTACTGTTTTTCCTGGGTTTTGCCTTGAACGCAGACTTTGTGGGTAATAATTGCTTTCATCCAACAGAAGGAGGGGTCAAAGATTGGCTCTCCAGATCCTGGCGCTCTACAACACCGATGCGACCACAAATGCGTCCTGAACGCTCGAGACCCTCCGCACCGCCAGCCCGGCTCGAGGGCCGCCCCTTGGTGCCCGGGGTTTCGTACGTACTTCTCCCCTGCAGAACTCTTACCTGCAGACCTTGCTGCGTGAGGCTCTGCGTGATGTAGTCTAGACGACGGCAAACGCTCTTTTTGGTTTCGGCGGCCGCCTCCTTGGTGCTGCTCACTCGCACCGTCACCTGCGCCCGGTTGGGGCCAGCGGACACCTCTGCGGTGCCGCTTACGTGCATCTCGCGGGTTGTAGTTGGGGGCTGCGCTGAGAACAGAGAGCGACGGGGGACAGGGAGTGTGTCTGTGCCTGACACCGCATTGTTCTCCCGGCTCCGGTCAGTCCAGGGAACCAGTTCCACGAACACCCGCGACGGAGGAATCTGTTGCAGGGACATAGCTATGGTGGCTGGTTTCCATAGTAACCCCAGGCGACGGCAGCCGACGGGGCCAATGGGCTCGTCCGTGCGCGGCGCAAAGGATGCTGGGTGGGCGTGGCCGCCCCGGACGCTCTGAGCGCGCGAACTGCGTCTTGGAGAAGGTCTCGCAGCTGCTGCTTTGCCGCTCGCCGGCTGGGCGCGTCATTAAGGTTCTTAACTCATTTACCTCGCGGCCTTCAAAAATCTAAGTGGGCTTTCTCTGTGGCCCCTTTCTACGCACAGCGTCCATTCCGAGGTCCAGAGGGGAGCGGCGCAGGCGCGGGGCGGCTTTGCTTCCCGGCGCCCCAGCTCTGTGCGCCCCGCCTGCTGCGCTGACCGCGGCCGCTCCCAGAGCAGCGCTCTGTCGGGCGCGCGCTGCGTTAAGGTTTAGTTCAGCTACGTGTTTGTGATTCGCAACAAGTTTCTGTTGGGGTGAACTGCTTTTTGGCCACGTAATCTTGAGTAGTTTATGATTCCTCTTACCTCACTTTCATGTTCCCCAAAGCGGTGATGGTAATATTTTTGTTATTTGCCTTGTGGTTATAAGGTGCCCATTTAACGTAGGAGTGCTTGGCATATGGAAAGCATTGAGAAAATAATGGATAATTACTTGTAATCGCTAAAGCTTTGACTTAATTTTCAAGCTTCCCCCCCCCACCCCAGCCTCCCGTAATCCCTTTAATGGTTCTGGCCTTGAATATGGACAGGAGAGATTGAAGTGGCATCAGAGCACGTTCAGTGTGGACATGGCTCCAACTTTGCAACGTAGATGTTGAGGGAGCCTTTATCACCCAGCCCTCAGCTCTTCCCTCTCCTGGGATCCCTTAACTGCTAAGCAATGATCTTTGTAGAAATAGCGCTTATTGCTCATTCCCTGTTAACACTGGAATTTTATCAAGACAATTGGGAGGGGGAAGAATTTTGAATAATTAAAAAGATGAGAGCTGTTATTGTGGAAGAAGTCTGAAAAAGCCACCGGGTAATCCTCATGTAGTTTCTTGTATAGTTTTTTTTTTCCTTTTGGTTCAACTAAGTCAGATGATGCATACCTACCCCTCATTTCTTTCATTGAGCTCTTCACTGGGTTAATAGGATTTGTATATATTTACTTCGTTGTTTATTGGTAGCCAAAAGCTACCAATTATATGATACAACTTTAATTAAAAACTGACTTTAAAAACTTTCCCCCATAATCTATAAATCAAGACACTAACACCCAAAGTAGTATTTTTAAACTTGGTGGAAAGTTCTTTTTCCTTAGGATGAATGTGGAAGAATGTAGCCTCCACAGAGAAGTATTGAATGAATAAATTTAACAGGCAAAACGCAACAGGAGATTTTTTTTTTTTTTTTGAGACAGAGCCTCAAGCTGTCCCTCTGGGTAGAGTGCAGTGGCATCACAGCTCACAGCAACCTCCAACTCCTGGGCTCAAGCAAGTCTCCTTCTTCAGCCTCCCAAGTAGCTGGGACCACAGGCACCGGCCACAACGCCCAGCTATTTTTTGCACCCAGCTACTTTTTGGTTGCAGCCTTCATTGTTGTTTGGCAGGCCTGGGCTGGATTCGAACCCACCACCTTAGGTGTATGTGGCTGGCACCTTAGCTACTTGAGCTACAGGTGCCAAGCCAGCAGGAGTTTTAATTGTATGTAAGTTTTTAGGAAATGATAAAAGATTTCAGGTCAGTGGAAAATGAAATAAATGGTACAGGGACAATAGGCAAGCTACATGTTTAAAAAAATTGTATCTTATAGATTGAAAATAATATTCAAATGAGACCAAATGCAAAAAAGAATTGGTATAAAGTATAACTAAATATAAATAGAATTGAATTGGAATAAAGTATGACTCAATATAAATATAATTCTAAGAATGAGAAGGCCTTTCGTAAATATAATTTCAAATTCAGCAGCTATAAAGGAAAAGTTTGATAAATTTGACTATATTAAATCAAAAAAAAGTATATAAGACAAAACAGAACCCAAAAAGGTGAAGGGGGGGCAGATAATTGGGGAAGAATATTTGTAACATTGTATATAAAGGACTTAGAGCAGGCGCCCTCAAACTACAGCCCATGGGCCACATGCAGCCCACCTAGGACATTTATCCGGCCTGCCAGGTGTTTTTGCTGCTGCTGCCTGTCCTCCTTAGCAGCGGACTTGTCCTAGGGCCCGCAGTCCGGCCCTCCAGCAGTCTGAGGGACAGTGAACTGGCCCCCTGTTTAAAAAGTTTGAGGACCCCTGGCTTAGAGTCAATGTTTAGAGCAGGTAACTAAAAAAACAAACATCTTGGAAGGTAGGAAAAATGAAAATACAGGCAAACTGTTAGGCGGCTAGGACCACCATAACAAAGTAGCATAGACTTCGAAGCCTAGACAACACAAATTTCTTTTCTCACGGAAGTCTCAGGGTGCCAGCAGCGTTGCTTGCCGCTGAGGTCTCTCTTGCTTTATAGACAAGCTGCTTCTTGCTGTGTCCTCTGTTTAAAAGGCAGGGGTCTTCAGACTTTTTAAACAGCATGATTGCACACTGGTGTCTCTTCCTAGAGCTCCATCCTGGTGACTTCATTTAACCTGTTACCTCTTTTTTTTTTTTTTTTTGAGACAGAGTCTCACTATGTCACCCTTGGTAGAGTGATGTGGCGTCACAGCTCACAGCCACCTCAAACTCTTGGGCTTAAGCTATTCTCTTGCCTCAGCCTCCCAAGTAGCTGGGACTATAGGCGCCCACTGCAACACCCAGCTATTTTTTGTTTTTGTAGTTGTCATTGTTTGGCAGGCATGGGCTGAGTTGGAACCCACCAGCCCTGGTGTATGTGGCCGGCGCCCTAGCTGCTGAGCTACATACAGGCGCCAAACCTAACCTCAGTTACCTCCTGAAAGGCCTTGCCTTCAAATGTTGTCACATTAGACTTAGTTCAACATATGGATTTTGGGGGTCGCAATATACATCAATAAAGCAGAAATACTGATAGCCTATAACATGAAAATAAAGTTTATCATCACTAGCAGTTAGAGAAATGCAAATTTAACTGCAGTAAAATATCCCTTTTTTGAACTCTTGTTTTGGCAAGTAATAAAGTTAGTGAGCAAGGAATAGGTCAAGCAGTAATTCTGAAAGAAGAATGAAGTGGTTCTTTGTGATAGAACTATATATTATGGTAAATAAAAGAGAATAATAAACCTAAGCTTTTCAGAATGAATGAGGGTGATAGAGTACATGTATTGTTGAGCTCATAATGATCCAGTTCTGCCTCAGAGGTAAGGCTGAGCCCCTAGCAACTATTTTGAATAAGGTGACTATACCAAGTTGATTGAACCAAGAATAGGCACCTCACTGGAGCCAGTTAGAATTTTTGACATGAGAAACCATATTTATAGTAGATATCAAAAATTCAGTCCCTCAGGCGATTGGACAGTGACATATGTTCATGTATATATGAAACCTTGAGAGATAGAGGTTGGCTGTTTTCCATTTGCTCTTACCATATCTACTAGAGAAGCAGAAAAAGTGCATAGAGAAAAGAAGAGAAAAACAAAATTATACATTCAGAGAAGAATGGAGATGAGATGGAGAGTCCAGATGCAATTCCTGTTTTTGGTTTTAGAATTTTTCTTAGGCCTGATGTCATAGAACTGCCCTGGAGTTCTATAAAATAGTCTAGTATCCTTATTATAAAATTCCCCTTCCATTTTTTTTTCACATAAATAGCTTCACTAAATTTTGTTTTCTTAAAACTGTTCCCTGACAAGGATAAATGAAGAGGAGGATTCCAAGCTGACTTGTATATCTTTCAGCCTTGAAGAATTTATAGAGGTCTACACAAAGCGGATCTCTGGGTATTTTTGCTCAAAGCTTCACCCTTTGGGAAAATTTTCCCTCTCCATTGTCATTAAGGGACATCTCCAGTGACGTCATGAAGCTGCTTTCCATTTTTGACTGGCACTTCCATGTCAAGCCAACTTATCCATAACCCATTCATAAAGCTTTTCCTCCTCGTTCATATGATCCTATGGTATCCCACATATAACCACTGGTATGGGCTGAACGAGGTGTTTTGGTACAATCTCAGTGGGCGGCACAGCAGTCTGGGGCACTTGCTCATGCAACGTGCTTATGCCCTCTTGTCCTGCTCAGGCTCGGTGCCCAGATGGTGATGGATTTCTGAGGAGCTGTCTGACTTTATGATTTGGAGTGTCTGACATGATCCAATTCCAAACATCTAAAAAAAAGTGTCAGAAGAGGGTAGAATAATATATTTCAGATGCAAGGGGAGAAAAAGCTAATTTAGGAGTATGCAGTACAACTAGATGTATATCCCTCAAGAATGAGGGCAAAATAAAGGAATCTTCAGACATCAGAAGACTGAAGGGAGTTTTCCACTTACACAGGCTAAGATATTCATATTACCGTGCCTCTAATAGTAGTAAACCTCAAAGGAAGGTATGACATGGAAATAAACAGTAATAACCCCAGAAACTGATAAAATATGTCCAGAAATTTAATTACTTACTGAAAATGATTTCTTGCTCATGTGTGAGTGGTTAAACAAAAAGTGAAACCAAAACCTCTAGAGTCTAGACAATTCAGCTTGGCTGCTGTTGGTATATATAAAG